TTGGGGGGGGAGAGATTTTCACTGTAGGGTGTGTGCACTCGCCAGACAGACAGAGAGAGACATAGAAACAGAAAGCAAGAAATCACCCCCCAGGGGGGATGGTCACGCCTTGCTTTCTCACTTTCTCTCTCTCATTCTCTCCCTCTCTGATCAGATTAAAAGAAATAAATAAATGAAACTATGTTAAAAAAAAAATAATTCTTTAAAAAAAGAAAGAAAGAAAGAAAGAAAAAGAAAAAAAAAACAGCAGGGAATGAAGTTGCAGTGGATTCAGGACCTGGGTCTTCCTTATTTTTTTATTTTTATTTTTTCCTAAGTGCAATGACCTTGTGTCATTGCTTGGACCGGAGGGAAGGGACATTTCCCAGCTCTCTTAAAGGTGAAACTTACCAAACCGAGAAAGAGGAGGTTAAGCCAGAGTGACCTTGGACCGCCTTCCAGGAAATGACTTTGAGGCTGAGGCTTTAAGATCCAGCAGCGAAACAGGGGAAGAATGAGAAGAAAAGAGCCTCTTAGATGAGACAGTGGCAGGTGCCAACACCCTAAGGCAGGGCCCAGCCTGGGCTTTCCAACAGAGACTGACCCCCGCGCAAGGTGACATGAGCAAAGGCAGGGGTGGGGGAGGGGAGCCAGGGGTTCTGGTCTCGGCCAATGGAAAGAAGTGGTTTTTCTATCCGGAGGAAGCGGGTTCTGACTCATGGCGAAATCGCACCAGGGTGTGAAGGACTATCAGCCCAGGCTAGGACGGGACTGATCTGATGGCCGAGAGACCAGGCGGGACTCCCTGTGAGTCTGCTCCCCGGCTCCTTGGCAAGGCTGCAACCCTAGGGGATACGGAGGTGGCCTTCCTGCGGGCGAGAAATTCGCGCATGCGCTTCTCCATCAGCTAGGTGCCAGCAGGTCTCTGGAGTGGTTGGTGTGCTGGATCTGGCATGGCCAAGTACATGGTTCGAATCCCAGATCCGGAGCTTGAAAGACACACCCAGTTGGGGCCCAGCAGGTGGTGTGGTAGTTAAGGTGCTAGACTTCCACATGGCTGATCCTGGTTTGAGTCCTGGACCTGGTAGCTTGCCTTCTCTCTACTCTCTCTGGTCAAATAGCATAATAACAATAAATAAATAAAATGAGATCATTCTTTGTAAAAAATGTTAAAGAGGTTTTTGCTATAGGGCACGTGCGCTCACCAGAAAGAGACAGAGAGAGACAGAGAGACAGCAAGCGAGAACTCACCCCCCCAGGAGGGATGGCCACGCCGCAATCCCTTCTCCTCCATTCTCCTCTCGGGATCTTGGGCACGCACGCACACGCGGCCAGCGTGAGTTTT